GGGTTACAACTTCAATACACGACAAGAGACAATGGCAACATGAGGGCTACTTATAGCAAACAAGGAGGGTCACATGACATGAACAACCCAATGGGAAACAAGACACATGACTAAGACAACCAATCAGAACATGACACAGACAAGGGAATCACATGACTAGACAATAACCAAATGAGAGTATGACACATACACAAGGCAGAGAGACATGAGGCAAGGGAAGCATGACACTAACAGCAGGAATCAAACTACAAAATAAAAGACATGAAAACATGAACAAGAAACACAACCCAAAACACCACATTACAATATGTAATTATATGTTATGCAGCTAAAAAATGTTATACTGCTAAAAAAAGTCGCTCCTTTTTATCCTTTTCCTTTTATCGCTCCTATATTGAAATTAACTTAAAATTTAAAAAAAAACAAAATTGTAAAAAATACAATTAATATTTTTAATATCATTTTTGTTTTTTTAAAATAGCAGAGATTGTTTTATCCATGTTATGGTGTACATTGAGGAGAATTAGGCTCCATAAATTATGATGTTATTTACAGATTACATCATGCCAGTATGACACAATATGACAATCTGTGGTGTATAGTTCTATCAGCACACTGCAGTTGGGTTGTGTTGTTGTGTGTTGGGCAGGCAGCCTGTAGATGGAGTACATGACCAGCTCTTGCTCTACATACATTGCCTTAGGACTCTATTATAGAAATCTGAAATTCATTATGAAATGGGTGATAAATCATTGAAAATGTATAAATCAATTTAATATATACACATTGTTAATAAGTTGAGCACAATTTTGTCCTCTGCACCAACTCGGCTTTCTGAAATGTGTTCAGAAACAGCAGTAAAGCTTTATCTGTATGACTTCCCAAGATCACAGCTTCAAAATGAACAAACACTTAGAAATATTCAAATGCATAAGTGCACCGAATCTCTTAGTCACCTTTATGTTCGAAGCAGTGAGATAATGGCTTGTTTAACACCGTGGGCATCTTTTCATCTCTTTTGAAGGATTCCAGCCCACACAGCTCCACCCTGATGCTCCTGCAGCCAGTCCTCACACAGACTCTTCGGCAGCCTGCACACTGAGCTGCCTCACTGGCCTGCCAGTTGCCGTGGTAACTTGACTTGTCTCCATTTGCTGTGATCAATGGAAATGTTGCCGTCGCAGGGGATTGGAGCGCTGCCAGCTCTCTCGGAGTGCAGCGTAACTCTCTCTCCATCTCGATCCGAGACGATGAAGACACAAAGGAAGAAATGGAGGCAGGGGGAAGCAGTGGGGTGGAGGAGGTGGGTGTGAAATGCCATCTGGGTGGTTTCTTGGCCTCTACGGTCAGGGTTAAATGATCACTCATGAGGCAGGTCATTTAATTTGAGTGTGCTGGTTCTGTAATAACACAAAACAATCAGTTTGAATGATGCTCCTGCGATGTGGAATACAGGATTTTCCTCAAATCATCAGCCTTCCAGATTCTGCTGAGTCTAAATTTCTGTCAGGAGGAGAGGGGGCTGAAATGGCTGTGGTGGCCGTGTGTGTGTGTGCGTGTGTGTGTGTGTGTGTGTGGAGGAGGAGGTTTTGATTTCAGCATGATGCTGTCTGCCACGGCAACAATGTGTATAGAAAAGTCAGATTTAAGGTATTATTTGTTTTTCAATAGATCTGTGAAACATGACTAGGGTGAAATTTAATTTAACATGCTTACATAAGACACTGTCTAGTGATTATCACATGTAGAGGACAGTAATAAGTCTACATTCATCAGTTCTACATATGCAAGCTTGTAATATATAATATAATATTGCAATTGTAATGGAAGTTTTTACAGTGAAAGCAGTAGTTCTCAGTCCTGATCATGGAGGTCATGAAGTCTTGGGCCTGGCTGCAGTCCGCAAGACAGACAGATATTAAAAAATATATTAAAATTAAATTAAAATACATATTTGCTTTTGAAGCTTCATGATACTTGTAGGTACTTAAATTTAGCTGACAAGTCGTCTTAACAGAAAGTCACACATTGTTTAAGAGGTGGTGGCGCAAGATCATGATTTAATTTATACATCAAACGCATATCTGCAAAAAGTACAAAACTGTCAAACGTCAATAGTTTATCATTTTTGATAATAATACAATGGTGATAACTCTTTGTTTTTTATACAGAACTTTCACAGCTTGTTTATAAAGAGTTTATAATGGTTTTAATGTTGTTACGCTTGTTTGAGACCAGCTTGTAGCACAATAGGATAAATGCGGAAGAATCATTGTGTGCATAAAATGTTTAGCAGCAGCCAAAGGTAACTGATGCCTAATATTCCTAAAAATCATTAAGCTTGCTTTAAAGGGATAGTTCACCCAAAAATGAAAATTTGATGTTTATCTGCTTACCCCCAGGGCATCCAAGATGTAGGTGACTTTGTTTCTTCAGTAGAACACATATGATGATTTTTAACTCCAGCCGTTTCGTGTCTTAGGACATCAATGTGTCGTCACGAGCCACAGGGTTTAATTTGGTTTTGTCTGTGTACGTTTTTTTTTTACTCTCAAAGCCATGGAGCCCATTGACTGCCATTATATGATTGACAGACTGCAACGGTTTGAGTTAAAAATCTTTCTTTGTGTTCTACTGGAGAAACAAAGTCACCTACATCGTGGATGCCCTGGGGGTAAGCAGATAAACATCACATTTTCATTTTTGGGTGAACTATCCCTTTAACTGTTAAGGAGAATAACTGTATTGTTAAAAGTATTAAAGGGATAGTTCACCCAAAATTGAAAACTCTTGTCATTAATTACTCACCCTCGTGTTGTTCCAAACCCGTTCAAGGCCTTTGTTCATCTTTGGAACACAAATTAAGATATTTTTGATGAAATCCAGGAGCTCT